AACAGCTCTCTCTGTCAATCATTTGCCCCTTATCCCAAAGTGGACTACTTTAAAAACACTACACAACAGATCATTAGTAATGACAGTGTACTTTTAAAAATAAACTCTTTTCCAGGAAAAAAAAAAGGAGGAATCAATATACCCACTGTAGATTATAGCGCTTGCAAAACAAGTTCACAGGGATAAGAATCCAATACCACCATTACTGAAAAGAAAATCCTTCAACTTCAAGCATCAATCTCTCCTTCCCTATCCAACACTGCTACTACTCACCATATCACACACACACACAGTTTTACCGTTTCAGTCAACAGGAACTTGTCTTACAAGCTGCACTTACGTTAGCCAGTCATTGACATACATCATGCTCACATCTGTTTACACCAACATGTCAACGGACAATCTGATAGATTTTCTTTTTAGAGACATCACAGTGTAAGCATCACACGTAATATACTGAAGAAAAAAACCCTCCAAAACAAACCCAAACCTGCCTGTGGACAATGGTAGAACAATGTCATGAGGACAATGGGCAAGGTCAGTCAGCTTAGTTGACTAAGGTAATCCTCACATTAAATCTGGAACACAAATAATCCCTACACTTCAAATGTGGACCATCCATGGAAAAATATAGTAAAAATATAGCTACCTCTTACATATACTGAATTTCATTTTTCATTAAAAAGTATGGACACTGACACAATGGGCAGGACCTAAGTTTTACACTGACTTAGTTATGCACAATTCTTCTCTAGATAAAACTATCTAAATTTGCACACAAAGCTACAGCTGCAGGAATTTTTGGTCATGACCACTGGTATTCACGCTAGAATGAGAATGTTGGACAGCAAAACAGATTATGGCACAGCCCACTAATAATCAGTTTAAAAAAAAAAGCCAACAACAACAGAATGTCATGAATATAACAGCATGCCCTCCAAGCTAAAACGAAAGTGGAAATCCAGGAGCAACATTGTCTCCTACTTAACATTCTAAAACACATTTTCTTTCAAATGTCTCAAGATTCTCTCCGAAAACACTTTCTTTCCCACCTAAAGCAACTACAGAAACAGTGTTTCTTTCAAATTTTGACAGCTAGTTATGGTAATTGCTTGTGCATGCAAGCTGATGTAGTTACAAACACAGAAATTGGCCTCTGGGGGGACCCAAGTAGAAAGGGAAGACTAGTTCCATTGGTACCTCTTGATGGCATTCAATGTGAGTAATAACGTACATGAAAGTTTTCACCAAATTGAATTACATTTTTGAAGCCTAATTCCAACATGTGAACACTTTATAAATCTAAGATATGGAACTGTTCACACATGGAAGACACACATGTGCTGAGAAATGTCTGAACCAGAAAACAAAGATATGCATTTCATAAACATTGAATTTATAAATCACCTAAAATCCAAAAATCCTCTCACAATAACTCTTTGCTGCTTCATTCAAGCTAACATACATTGGTCATAGTCAACTCTATTGGTCGCTTTCTGCAACCAAGTTATTGCATAAACAATAAAAACCTCCACTAAATTTGATGTAATACGAACAAAAGATACAATTGTATGTACATATTCTTATCGCAATCCAGTGAACATTTTATCAATGCAAAAAACTAAATCCAAAACTCTAAAAAAAATGATATATGAAAATCTTCTCAGTCACTCAGAAAGGAAGGTGGAGGGTTTATTTGGCATTCGAAGGATGCACTAATGCAATTACCAAATACTCTAAAGCAGTACCAGTCCCCCTCTCCACCCTACAAAAAGGACAATACATAAGACAGATAGTAGCCAGGACTCATCATAAACAACACACTGATACATCAAGCAGTGCATGTTCTATTCGGCGATGCGTTGAGGACGACCTCACTTTAAACACTGAGTAAAGGGGTCATGGTAACAGGTTCTTGTTTGTTTTAGTAAGCGTTTTACGGCACTCACAACACAATAAAGTCATACAAGTGCCGAAGATTAGAGGTGTTACAAGAGAGTAACAAACACAAAAAAGATGGAGGGGAGATAAAGACGATAGATATTTGATAGGAAAGAAGAAGCAAATCACACCAGTGCACCCGCCAACCACCCACACAGACTATCAACAATGTAGAAGCCACACACTTCATCTAGGAACAGCACCCTGTGTTAACAGAAACTATAACACCTCAAATACTCTCTCCACACCTTATATTAAAGGGAACACAATCAACATAACCATCTGCTCAAGTATTTTTTTTTTACAAACTTTGAAAGTCAACCACCTTCAGAAATCAAACTTTGAGACAATAAGTGAATCCTCCAAAAGAAGGCATCGACAACACATCTTCCCATAAAGGATATACGACAATATGGAAAATGGTGAGGAATAAAGTAGCAATGTAAAATTAATGGTGGGCGAAAAATGAATTACGTGTATTGAACTGTGATAATATGTCCTTCACCCACAAACAGCTTAACTCACTGAGCCCTGGCCTAGAAAATAGTCTATATCAGGATTTTACTTTTATTTCTGTTAAGACGACAATCTAGTAACGCTATAAATTTTAATTTCAAGGTTAAGTAGAAACATTTTTTTGACCAGAAATGAAGATGATTTCCAAAATACACAGCTATGTACTGTCAAATCCAGTGAGAAGAAATATTTTTCAAAAATGAAAATAGTAGGGTATTTTAAAAGTCTACGGGAACAAAAATAGCTTTACAGATAACTTGATAAAATCAAAAGTATTACAAACAGGAGAAATGTATCATCATCCTAGCCAAAAAATCAAGCCAATAGCTTAGTATTTACATTCATGAGAATGTTTTGAAAAAGCGTGAAAACGGCTAGTATACAGTAACCCCCGCATCTCCGTACTGACCAGGGCTCAGTGAGTCCCCACTCCCCCCAATAAAATCATCAAATTACCCCCCCCAACATTTTTTAAAATTAAAAAAATAAGCCACTACTAGTAAAACTTTTAATAAAAAGACTATCGCTGTATCCCTGTCAGCTTTCGTAAAAAAAATCAACTGAACGGCCAAAGGGAAAGTGATACAACTATGAGAAGTTTTACATCTACCATTTTATATTTTTCTTCAAACGCATTATATGAAACCATACAATTACAACTTTTCAGTGTAAGTCATAGGAAGGTAGTATCTAGGAACATTTTGTTATTGCTGCATGATACAAACGTTATCTACAAACCAATGGCTTTTGTCACTCAGCTCAAAAGCATACCCTCACAATTACATCTGAAACACTGCATTGTGCAGCTTCAAATGGTTGTTAAAGAAAATTCCAGGCATTAATCTAAACCTTTCTTAACAAAACCACTGCATCATATCTTATTTGTTGACACCTAAGACAAAAGTTGTACTTTCCATCCATGCAATGGGAAAATTTTTTTTATTATGAATGCCGCTTAACTTAAAAAAAAATTTAGCTTTAGGTCCTCACTCGATGTACACATATGGATGAAAAGTCTTAAACTAAAACTGTGCAGAAGAGTTTAGACTTCAAAACTATATCTATTAACAACCCCCCCCCCCCTTAAAACAAACACATCTCATCAATACATAAAATTTAACAGAGAACAAATACTGTTGTCTACGGTGAAACATCAATGATATAAGCATAAATTTGTGCATTTGAGACACTGTTCAATTGGTGCATCAAGCTCGTACAACTAAATTTCATATTAACGCATAGTTCAGTCACATACACAAATGAAACAGGACAAAATCATGACTCGAAGGAGGGGGGAACAAGAGCAGAAAAATGGGCTAGGATTCAAATATTCATTTACTCGCTAGCTACTGGAAACTACTTCCAAACTCAGCTGACACAAAATCACACACCCAAATCCTCCCTACAGGACACACATAGACACCACTTGGCGAGACAAAAAGACAAAGGGACATTCCCTCCCTAGCTGCACTGCCACACTAATCCACATAATTTGCGAAGGAGCAAGCAAAAAAAAACATTTGCAGGCTATGATCACATTGACAAAACATCTGAACAAAAATAAAATATGAGCAACAGCTGGTGAGAAATGCAGAAAAGCAGAAGAAAAAAGACTATATACTTCCTTTCACAAGAATTCTTTAAAAGAACCAAACCACACACAGTATCCAACTGTGAACAAAAATAATTATAATCCACAGATACTATGGTCATTTGGTTTCTCCTAACTTTCATCATAAGGCCACTATTAAGTTGACATCTCAATCTGGAAATGTAGGGCATCATTACATTAAAAGAGGGAAAGAAAGAAAAGGTTGAAAATACAGAAGAAAAAAAGAAAGAAAAAAGCATAGTTTGAGAGAAAATCTGACAACAGGAACTTGGTTCCCTCCCACAGTAACTTTTTACCCAGTCTTGACTGGAACAATGACCTCACTAAAAAGAGTAAACTCGAATAGAGTCAAAGATTAGGTTCTGTCTGAAAACTTTTTGTAGAAAGTAGTGTCCCAGTACTCCTAGTTTGAAACGTTTTTCCCAATGATAGTACATAACAAGATGGGCCACTCAGCCAAAAAAGTGTCCGCAGGAAGTATGCTCTTTGCTTCAGATGGCGCTGCAGTCTGTTTTGAAGCTCTCTTTCGTTTTTCCAGAAAAAGAATAGGAATAGCACCTCCTTGCGTGCGCAGATCGACTGCTGTTCATCAGCAGTTCGGGTACGTTCAGTGCGGAGTTTTAGTTTTTTAAAATTTTAATGACCTCTCGCCTTTCACTCTAAAGTCAAATTAAACAAAGAAAACCATCACCCTTTCCTAATGGAAGAGGTTTTTTGTCAGCGTAACCATTTTAAAAAAGCGTTCTTCCGAAATTTATCCCAAAACTTGCTAGTTTCACTTTGATTTTTAAAAACTCAAGTAGGGTAACTCTGTTCGCAAAGAGTGCGTTTTTGTGAAGAGGGCGCAACCAAATTTTGAGGACACTTTTTTAATTGGCTCAAAGAGAGAAGTGGCCCATCTTGTTATGTACTATCATTGTTTTTCCTTATATTTTAGACCTCTTTCATTTACAAAATAAAACCTGGATCCACTCAGTGACCAATAGTGAGAATCAAAGAACAAATTCAAACAGGGGTAAAAATGTAAGGACAAAAACTGACGGCGAAATGAAAACTGTGTCCCAGTGTTTTGTTACAAACACAAAATGTTGAAAGGCCTTAGCAAAAATGATCTTCAGCCATAAATAGTCTTTCTGACAGAACAGGCCAGTAATCAATGATAACTAACTATCCCTGACAGTGAGTCCTCATATATGTTGCCTTTTCAAAGATAAATAAATTCTCAAAAAATCGAGTACTGCTCATGTAAATTTGTCTGAAAAAGGATTTTATAAGAATCATGGTGTTGAACCTACATTCTGCTTTGCCTCAAAAGTTCAAACATAAACTCTTCAATCGGAGAGGGAGACCAAAACCTCTCACAACACAAGTACATGTTTGTACCTTTGCAACGAAAAGAAACTTTAAATCAGCGATTCACAATGAAAACCAAACAGCATACTTCAAGACACCTGAGAGGATATGAGAAATAAATGCATTAATTTTACCCCACACTCAACCCAATTCATCAGTTTTCTAAACAATTTTTGGGGGGTTAAAACATAGTCAAACAGCATGCTTGCATACATATATATGACACAGTTTGTCAACATTGTGTAGATCCTGTGCATTAGTTGACTAGAGAACACCCTGCACAGCAGCGCTCTGATCACACACATTTTGGTTTACAATGAAGCATGCAAGGGAAACCTTCTCTTTCGTACCCTTCTTAAAACACTGAGCGTACATTCTCCACAGCGGCAAATGAAACCTTTGTACCTACATCAAGATTCTCACAGCTGATCTTAATGCTCGGGAAAGCGGAAAAACAATCAACAAAACTATCATAGCGGAAAGGACATATGCACTTAAAAATGCACCCTTAAAAAAGTTATAATAAGTTGAGAAATTTTCAGTTTGTTCAAAAAACACCTTATTAAAATTTGTATTCTTGATCAATAAGTAAAAGAATCAAGACAAAATGAATTGAAATGACTTCCCTTCCGTTGATATCAAGCCTATACGAAAAAGTTAAATCAAGGTTAACTACCAATAAAGATATAGTCTGTGCTTTTAACCATAAGGCCCTGAGATATTCTTGCGTCAATATGAAAATACATCCGATGAAATTGAACCTAGTCAAAACTATTTATATACTTTCGTGACAGATTGGCTGAGAAGCTGAGATATCTGAACCTGCTTTGCTGGCTCATCTGTTACATTGAATTTCAGAAATAGAATATTGACCATAAGTATGTATAATGAAGACAAACATTGGGTTGACCGATAGATTCTGAAAGCTCATGAGATATTACGCTGTTTTCGTTTCAGCTATCACATGGTTCAAGGTTTACAATGAAAGAGAGATGCTTGAGGAAACTGTTAGGAATGCTGCTTCAGATGCACAACAATTTAAAGGGTTGCAGAGAAGATGACTAATTGTCTCTCCTTGGCTTCTTTTTCTTGCTCTTTGGTGCTGCTTCTATCCATGAATCTGAAATACACAAAGTTCCATTTCACAAACTATGATGTGCTTTAGTACAGACCTGCCAAACAAATATAGAACTACGCAAAATAAAGAGTTTAAGAAAAAAATAAATAAAGGAGTCTCCTAGATAAATAGCGATTGTTGAAAAAGCAGCCCCCCCCTCCACATAGAGCCTGAGATTAACTTCCAACTTCCATTAAAATGAATGTATGGTGCTACTCGGGCAGAAGTGAATATCATACAAAAATAACACTCGTGTTATATGGTCGCTTTTAAGGACAAACGGGCTAACCTAGATTTCGGGGGTTTCCAGAAATCTTGACCTACACCAAAAGTAGGCATTGCCCTACCTACAGGAGAAGTTTGTTGTAATTGGTGTGTATATTTGTTTGGTTATAGAGAAAACTTCCCTTGTCTTTAAAAAAAAAATGAACAAGGGGCAAAAACTTTATCTTCAGTTTTCTCAAAACACCATTTTTCGGGATAGCCTCCATGTGCTTAATAGCGACCATATATATTGTCGCTACAGGGTTCTAAATGGTTAACTAGGTTTCTATAAATTTTACAGGAGGTTGAAAAAACTAAACGGTAAAGCTATTACACACATTTCAGCAGTCAAGAGTCCGAAGTTGTGGCGACTATTCGGATACGTTAATCTTGCTGAAAGTTGTTTATAGCATGAGTTGTGTGATGTCAACAAAAACCGCATTTTCGGAGAAAGCTATTTAGAATCCTGCAGCGACAATATATACATTTTTGTAGTTGACGATGACAGTAATTAGCTAAAAAAGAAGGAAACTTACTCAATCTCACTTTCCCAGCCTTCTTCTTAAAATGAAAATATATTTGAGTATCATTTGTTGATTGTGTTTAAGCACCTAT